ATAATATAATATAATATAATATAATATAATATAATATAATATAATATAATATAATATAATATAATATAATATAATATAATATAATATAATATAATATAATATAATATAATATAATATAATATAATATAATATAATATAATATAATATAATATAATATAATATAATATAATATAATATAATATAATATAATATAATAGAAAATAGTCACAAAAATACCACACAATATTAACTTGTTATGTTATATGGTGACAGACACGCCTCAAATGTCAGTACTTACTATATGTGAAATCGTGTGAAAACAACAATAGTACACTATATAATGCTATAGGATTTGATCTGATGACTATTTTAAAGGAGAAGCAATATGTAATTTAGCTATTTGTCGGAAATTCTGCTGCAATTCCTTGCTCTTTGATGACACATTTAACAATGAATCCTCACAAATATATAATAGAATATAGTTTTTCGATTCATTGTTTAATTTCTGGATTTTATATTCCCCTCTTTATATACTAAAATTAACACTCCATTTAACCAAACTATTATTATCTCAACTCAAATATATACACTAACGCACATGCACGCTGAAAATATCAAGATGTATAAACTAGTGAGTATATATGTATATTTCTCAAAATTTAGGTGGAGGTGGCAGAAATTTATTAACCTTTTACAATTTTGCTCATACTGAAACGTATTGAAAAAAACACGTGCTATAATTTATGGGTGTTTTTAAGGAAAGGTCTCAATGTGTGATACATGTGTAAATATGATTTTCTTCAAGATACTTCTGTTGATATATTGACTACGGGGGGCATATACAACTAATATCTTGCGCCACGCAGTACAGCACTAATAATGATTCGCACTAATAATGATTCGCACTGTGCACTGAAACATCAAGGTTTATTCGAGAATTCATAGTTCTCCATTTCAGAGTTAAGTTCTTCTGATGATATTGTATATTATAAATAGCTAACATTTTACATGATTTAATCATTAGAATAACGCTTATTTTTTGTTACTTGAAAACAATACAATGTGACTCATTAATTTATATGAATTTGGGAGACACAAATTATATTTTATTTATTTATATCTAATGGGGAGTTATAAAAATTAATTGGAATTTCCCGTGCAATGGTTCACGTATCAATTGGGTCAATAGACCTGAGCAAAATTAGTGCTACGCTTTAGTGGTTTGTCATGATGTATGTTTCCATAGCATATGCGATGACACATTTCGTATGTCCTTGAGACGATGTCATATTTATTCCAAGGTACAGGAATATCTGCACAGATATCTAGACTGTAGAACAAACTTTAACTTATTTAATCTCAATTATTCCGTAAATGTGCCTGTTTAAATATTATTTTATTTTGAAAGACGTCAATTAAATTAACATCATTTTACATCTTAATACCTGAATATAACATATGATGTTTCAGGTGTTTTTTATAATGTATTAATTGATTAGAGATAAAGCGTGGTGGTCGTCGCGCTGCGCGTGTTCGAATTTCATGTAAATAAACAATGTATTTTACATGCGTTGTATACATGTCGAACAAGACGCGACACGACGACTGCCGCAATTTAAGTGTGATGTATGACTTACATTTATGTTCAACGTACAAAGTATCAGCAGATGTGATTATTTCATGCAAGCAAATGGACTCCGCTACAACTCTCACCAGGGAGTGTATGTTTGATACTGTCAACATAGCAAGACTAGAAGCACTCCTTATACAAAAACGCCGCATGAAACGTTCTGGATATGTCCATATTCAAATGAGTTCATTGCCCCCTTTCAGATACATCGAGCAAAAAGAAAATTGAAACTACTCGTAGTCGTGATTCTGTTTCATATTTAGAGGCACACTTTTACATATCGGTTGATGGTCAGCATTCCAGACAGCACGACTAAAAGTCAACTAACTGACGGCGATTTTGTTATTGTAACCAGGTATTATCT